AATTAAAAATAATTTTTAAAAAAATTAAAAAAGATACGTATTTCAAGAAAAGAGTAAAAAATTAAACATTTTTTTTCACCAGACTTATCAAAGATTTTGCTACTTTGACTATGAATAAAAATAGTGTAAAATTCTATAATGAATTTTTCCTTCTTGCATACCTTTAACTCTCGTGATATTCCTCTTCGAATTATCACCTTTTTATAATTGTTGATAATAATATTTATGGAAAAGTGAACCAACAACCGTCGGAGGAAGATGTTGTAAAATTAAATTATAATATAGAAAATAAATGGTTAAAATTCGTTTAAGCCTGAAAGGTCGCAAGGGTCAACGCTCTTTTTGAATAATCGCCATCGACGAAAAAAGAGCCCGTGATAGTGGTAATTATTTAGAATATTTGGGCTTTTATAATCCCCGTAGTAAGGAAATAAAATTAGATAAGGATAATATTAAAAAACGGTTGTCTCAGGGAGCTCAGCCCACTGATACAGTGCGAGATTTATTTAAAAAATATCTTTAAAAGTCTTTTCTTTTCCGTGATTTTTTGACAAAAATAACAGCAGTAATTAGAAAAAATAAAATCAAAATAATACCTATCGTCCAGGGAAAAGGATAATTGTCAGGTTTATATCATTTTTTCTCTGGTTTGTTTTGGGTAGTTTTGGGCTGGTTATTCTCGACTGGATTTGAATTTTTTATGGCTTCTTTAATTTTGTCTCAGTCTCTTTGTCCTCATTCCTCATCCCAAGAACCATTACTATCTTTTTCAATGAAAATTGTAATGCCTGATTTGTAGTGTTTTACTCCGTTTTTTTTGTTTCTGATAAAATTTCCCCGTTGCGAGTTAGTTCCATCCTCAGTAATCTCTCAATCAGTTGGGATTTGTTTGATGTTATTAATTATTATTGTTCTAATCTCCACATAGTTCTCTCATCAAGAGTCATAATTTCAATTCTCCTTTAAATTTATTTCTTCGCCCTTTTCTGTTTTTATTCGATACTGTCCGTTTTCTTCAGCCAATCCACTATCATAATATTCCCCCCACGTTCAATACTTTTCTACTGTCTCGGAGTTGGCAAAATTTCCCACTGGATCCAGACATATTTTATCTAAATTAGCAAGATTTTTTTCTTTTCAAGCAGAAGGATCCATAATAAATTTTAGAATAATTACTTTTAAACCATTTTAATGTTTTGCTCTTAGTACGGAAAAAAAGATGAAAAGACAAAAATATTAATATAGGAGGAAGTGATAAATGGGACTATAGCGCAGTTGGTTAGCGCACACCGCCGATAACGGTGAGGTCGGTGGTTCGAATCCACCTAGTCCTACCATGATAAAATTATAACAAACGTAATTAAGTTAAAGCAGAAAAAAATCAAAAACTTGGTAAAATATTAATAATGCTTTATTACACTAAAATCAAAGATTTTCAAAAAAAAATTAATAGCAAGGATAAATTGGTTTCTTTTATCATTTTTCTTAAAGAGGGTTGAGAAATTTATATGGGCACGGCTCATGCGGAAATTGTCGCATTAACTTTTGCTGAAAAAAACCAAGAAAAAATAGCAGAAGTAGAAAATTTTTTGAAAGTTTTTGCTCGTGCTAGTAAAGGAAATGACACTATATCAGTTGGGATTGAAGCCGGATTTGCACAAAAAAGTCTTCCGGGTAAATATGGTATTAGCGGCACTAAACTGGTTGCTGAACTTGATGGTAATGTTAGCATTAGTCGTAATTCCTCTGCCCCCCTTTACGATGTCAAAAATAAATCACTTAATTTATCAGTAAACGGTTTGGTATATAAACAAAACGAAGGCACTCTAACCCTGGAAGTAGACCACCAAATTGAGGAAGCCTTTTCTCGGGAAAAATTCCCCGTCAAAAAGGTTATTTTTCACAATAATTCCAGCCGAGTAGCCGAATTACATGACCTAGTAAAACATAATCTTGATAACGGAGAAAAAAATTTTACTTTGGAAAACTTGGAAAATTATTCGACCATTGAAAAATATGAAGAAATGAGTTTTGGCTTAGGTGATTTTTTTTCTAAACTCACTCTAAAGGGAAAATTAGCCAAACCTACTCAATCGCCACCTCCCCCAACTGGTGGTGGCTCCCCGCCTCCGAATGGTCCTAAACCTAATGCTCCTGGTGACGGTCCTTCTCCTACTCCCCCTCCTACTAACGGCGGCCCAACTAGTCCTCCCACCAATGGTGATCCTGGGACACCACCATTCCAAAGCCCCACCAATAATGATAATAATGGCCCAAGTTCTCCTTCGCCGGTTAATATAGAAAATGGCCCGGCTAAACCAACCCTAGATAACTTGGCTAATGAAGCCGAAGGGGTCCGCGGCCATGAATTGCTAAGAAAATTAATTGCCGGTGAAGAACTGCGAAAGCAAGGAATATTCGACCAAGCAATTTATGAGTCTCTGTTGGCCGAAAAGAAGAAAAACAGTCCAATTTACCAAATTTTAAATCAACAACAACGAGTAGATAAATTGCTGCAATTTTTTAGCGAGTTAAAAAGGAAACAGCAGCACCAAAATAACAAATTAGAAAAAAATGGTCAGCCAGGAAAAATAGTAGGCGGGATAGTGGTTGTTCTGGTCTTTTTGGTCGGTCTGGTGTTAATTTGAAGATGGAAAAGAATCCAAAAAAAAAAAAAACGCGAGGAAACTAAAATAAATAATATATGAAAAAAAGAATTCGTCGAAGCCGCACTCGGTTAATTTGCGGACAAGCCAAGCCTGGTGCCAGTTTATCCTTTTTAAAAAATATGGCCTTATTTTGTAAAGAATTTAATAATGATGAAAAGGCAAAAGCAAAAAGCGGTGAACTAGTTAATGTGGAAATAACCTTATATGATAATAACATTAGTAAGTATAATATTGGCACTTCGCCTAGTGCTTATTTATTGAAAAATAGACGCAGTGATTACAAAACATTGAGGAACAAA